ATTTATATTCAATTCGGCGTTGCAAATTATGTATAATTTTTAAATCTGTGAAATTTTTTGTATTTTCTTTCGAACTTTGCGTCACCATTTGCGATGTTGATGGCATACTTTCTTTTTCTTTTTTGCGGTTCTCTCTCCATTTTTGTCTCAATTGTTCTTTTTGCTCTTCACTATAATTTGCAGTTTTAGCTCTATACTGACGCAGTGTTCTTTCACAATTCCTTTTCTTTTGTGCCTTAAATTTTTCTGAATTTGATATCTTTAACTTTTCGCGATATTGTCTTTGTCTTTCTGCAGCACTCATCGGCATTATCTATAGAGAAACAAAATTATTGCTTTTTACTAATGCAAGAAAGGGGATGAAAGCTTCTTATTATTGTTCGAACCTCCTTGCAAACAAAAACACTTTCGTATAAAAAAAAAACTAAAAAAAACAGCCGAATACAAAGTGAAAAATAATTTTAGTTTCGGAAGTTGATGGCTTTGTTTCTTTAAAATTATTTTTTACTTCTAGTCGGTGCACACAAAAGTATCTCAAAAGCAACAAAAATTCAACACAAAAGCTAAATTTTAAAACAGTTTTAGGTTATAATTTAGAAATTAAGTCAAATTTGACACTTATGCATGTTATTATGTAAATTGTAAGCGTGGGCGCATACAGAATTGGTTTAATAAACTTATAAATCAGTTACTTACCGAAAAATTGCTATTTAATTAACCACTGACGAAAACGTGACTCACTCTTTGACACTTCCTACACTACACTAGATGCATTAGATTGGATTCCCTATATATAATGTACTCTGTGACTAGATGGTTGCCTTATTTCTTTTTTTTTTCTGTTACGCAATACTGTGTTGCCATATCAATATTTCACCTTTACCTCAGCTTGTAGTAAGAAATAGGAGTCAAAATCCGTAACACAAAAATTTATAACACAAAAGCAAAAATTGTGACATCTTATCTAAAATATAATAAAACATGTAATAATTAAATATTTCCGCAACATAATCACATATGAAAGATGTTAAGAGTCTTATTTCTTACGATTAACGTTTAATTAATTTAATTTAAGAAAAAAATACCTCGTGATATAGATTACTAAATTTTATATCAAAAAACGACACCGTATCTTTAGACCAAAATTAGGAGTCCTTACTATTAAATTGCATATATTTTTACGAACTTTAGTTAGTTAATATAGTTTTTTAATTTGGAACAGGTAGCTTATTAACTACATTGCAGATTTCCACCGTCAGAGAAGTTATAATGTTATAGTTTTCCTTGAAATCGATAAGGACATTTTGATATATTTTGCTTAAGACAAAAATGGTAATTTTGACGGCCTTACCCAAATACGTCTCATCTTTAGCTCTAGCTAGACCTAACCTCAATCGGAACGAATAAACTTCAACATATCATAACATAGTTCTAAGTTAAAAAACTAAAATTTCTTTCTACCTATGTGTTTATAAGTGTACCTTTATAAGTATTCTTAAAAATTGTTGCTGCAAATTCATTAATTACAAGAAATGGTACCTAAGTAATCAGTTTCTCATTATTCGAGTGCAAGTGTTTTAACTTAAATGTTATTGTTGTTAATGTTCATAAAGTATCTCATAGGTAGATATGTAGGTACCTATATTTTTTTTTGGAGGAGGGTGATTGAAGAGTATTAAGCTTACTGACCTAACCTAAAATCTTAGATAAATTCACACAATGAAATCAAGTGTATCGTCGTGACCACACTGATTTTAATGCTCTTTAAAATTAAATAAGAGAGCAACCAACAGAATGAATATAGCGTGCATAAACCTAAAAATAATCTTGGTTAAAGTTTTTAAAAGCACCTACCGAAAACTTCGATCCAAACTATTGCGCGACACAAAAACATTAAGTACCTACCTAATAAAAATTCGTTTAGGGGCATAAACTTAAGGTCTTTATGGAAAATGCAGTGGACTGTAAAACTACCTATATTATTATGTTCTTATGTAAGTACTTATAACTCATATGTTTACAAAAGTTTGTTGTCTGATCTGGGGTGTGTAAGGAGACAGTTTCTTTTTGTATGGAGAATGGGCCCACCACAAGTTTTAGAGAACCGTAATGAAATGCATGTCAATTTATTTATTATAATCTATAGATTACAATAGTAATATTAGTTTTACCGTATCTAATCGGAATACTGAGTAATTGGCAAATATGTATCTTACTATAACCTAATAACAAACTAAAAGCTATTTTCTATTAGTTTTCACCGGTATTACAAGTTAAAATAGTGCACTGTTCAATAAATAATAGTATAAAACAAAGTTGTAGTTACATTCAGCATTTATAGGTACTTTAAAATTGATGGAAAATCTTTTTAGTAGTTCCGGCAAAATAATATAGTGCATGTCTGTGCATGAATATGGTATGGATACTATTTTTTACATGTATTGTTTGTGAGTGTTCATCCCAAATACTGTTTAAGTAATATGATTAAAGCCAAGATGAGTCAGGGATAATATTATGTACATTTATAATATTACCTACACATGCTATATAGTAATAAAGATGTTTTGAACTGGTTGTATAAGGATAAAAACACAAGTTATAATGCATCTACATTTATAATAGTAAATCATAATTTCCAAAGTAGTCTATTAACAGTAGAACAAATAGACAGGCATGGTGTCAAAACTTTGTTTGAAAATATATTAACTGATTAGGTGAGGTTAGATACCTCAAACATTTTTATCTGTTATTACACACTGATAAATAGTGAGGAAGTAAGATGTTATAAATTATTTATGGAAGGATAATAAAACACATGTATAATTTAATTGTATTTGTTATTGTAAATCATTTCAAAATATTATTTCTAAATATCATGATGATAACATGTCCATTTATGATATTGGCAGGAATTCGAAGAACATTTTCAATGATATGATAGAAGACTGTTGTCTTCAATATCCATACTCTTTTTTGTCTCTGCCTACGCTCTGCAAGCTTTTAGCCTGCAAAGCATACATATATGTTCTCAGCAATTGACCTGAAAAACTTAATTATTGTAAAGAGTGCCTATACTAAATATTAATTCTTATCAATATATTATTTTTTCTAAATTTATTTCATTCTATGTAGCTTGTGGAGACTATGTTTATATATGAATTGCATTTCAAATAGTATAATGCCAAAAAAACATGTCTATTTATGATACTGTTAGAAATTAAAAAGATAATTTCAATAATAAGAGATAAGACATTACAGATCCTTCAATGTCATATTATAGACTATATTTCCATATTTCTGTCAGAATTTTGTTATGTATGCCTATATGTTAAATAAATAAGAAATTATTATAAAATATACACGATTAATTAGCTCCAGTTGATCAAATACAAAAATAGTAATTACGGATTTACAGCAACAATATTTGAGTATATAAAAGTTGTCTAACTTTTTATTTGCACTGGTTTCATGTAGGAGAAAAATATATAGTATTTTTCATGACAAAATAATATTCCTTTCTGCAGAGTTAACAACACAGCAGTATAAGCACAATAGAAGAATCTGATTCCGTCGCAGGATATGGTCCAAAGTTATATAATACATGCGATTTTTATTATAATCATAGAAACGCAGTCCAGTACAAAACACGAGCGTTAAAATGATGCAGTCATTATGTTAGTGGGCGCGAGTCGAATGTGCCTACGCTCGTCACACGCACAAATACACGCCATTCCGTGATACCAGTTTCTGGCGTTTGCAATCAAATTGTGCAAATCACTATTTTTTGATTAATTTTAAAAAATCGATATAATAAAGATTACGTATTACGAACGAAGATTATTTAGTAGAAGTATTTTATGAGAATATAAAATGGAATAAAATAAACACGATAATGATGTTACTAATATAACTTTATTATACATATATTAATGGTACAAAAATGCAGACATAATAAAATTTAAGAATATTATTAAACACAATTAATTTGCCCGAATACAATAAGCACATCGTGTAATGTTTAATTTTAACCGACTTCAAAAAGGGAGGAGGTTATCAATTCGGTGTATTATTTAATGTTTTTTACCTCAGAATTTTACATTTTCTAAACCGATTTAGATTTTTTTCTTTGAAAGGATATACACACGCTGAAATTTTAATGGTTGTTTTCCCGAATTAAAATGATTTTGCCTTAGTAGTACAATAGATTTATTAAAATAAAATTATTAGGATGTAAAAATGGCAGATTTACAATCGAGAAAAACAAAACTCGAATGCGATCTCAAACCAATAGCAATATCTCGCAAGTAGGTCGGGCGTACAGGCTAGCTTATACCGAATTAATATAATAAAGTCTGAAAAAAAATTCACTGGACGTAATGTAGTGCCGTGTAGTGGCGGTCAAGAATATCTACTACCCCATATCCTCCCGTGTGTGTGGTAAAAGGTGACAAAGGGAAACAGGCAGGAGATGGGCAGCAGCATCTTCCTGATAATAGCCAAAATTACAATAAAAAAACTGCGGTTGCTAATCCGCTCACCAAGCGTGGCAACTATGGCAAATACCCCCCAATGATTAAAGCAACAAACAGAAGGCCCCCAGTCCCCGGCGGCCCCGCTATTCCTGGCTACGGTGGTGACCATAGTAACGGCGGGGCAGGGGGGGCATATTAGAATCGATTTAAAAATCGACCTTTTTCGTAAAGAATCTACATCCGTACTAACGACAATGACATTACAAAATGGCGTCAGTTTTATGGTAGGATTAGATATAAACAATGCAAGAATAATTGATTTTCAATAACTTTTTTCTCAAATATTACGCGTTTCTGCATGTTGTAACTTTGTGTGTGTGCTTATAATAGTGTAACTTTTCGATAAAAATACGTATCAACCCCCAACTCGACGGGAGTCAATGGAAAGCTAAGCCAAAAAAACTGCAAGTTCTTGAAAAATAAATAATTTAAAACTTAAATGTAGCACCTACTTACTGATGGCCTTAATTAGTTAAAATGCCTATTAATAAATACTTGTAGAAGAGCCTTATTCGAGTCTCTTCCTCTGGCCTCACCAATTTGAGGTAGAAGTTCAGCATCCACAATTGCATTGAGTTCATTATCATGATCTGAAAATTATATTATTAATGTTATTATGTAAAAAAATATTATATTCATGAATGATTAAAATTATTTGTGTACAAATTACCTGGTACTGAATCTTGTTGTCCTATTGCAGTAACAATACTGCAATAGTATTGTGTGTTGCTTGTGCAACTGCAATAGGACAACAAGAACATACATTATTCATGTCTACTGTCATACCATACAATAGACTTTGAAACCGCTGCTTCCACACACTAAAGCAACGTTCAACACAGTTCCGCGTGGCAATTTCTGCTCGATTATATCTTTATTCCCGCTCATTTTGAGGTCTTGAGGTGTGAATAGATATGGCTCTAATCTGTAGCCTGAATCTCCTAAGAGTCTCCCTCTAAGCTCTCTTCTTTCAAAGTGCTCTTTAAGAGTGGATTCTTTGAAGATACGGGAATCATGGGTACTGCCTCGCCATCTGGCAACAATGTCTCTGATATATGTTTAGCATTGCAAACTACCTGCATTAAAAATGAAAAATAAGTGAGCACAGTTATGTATGTAGGTAAAATAAGTACATATGTATATGAGTAATATACCACCTGCCTTTATGGACATATAATTTGAAATAAGAACTTACTTTAGTCAGACCTCTGTCACTCTTGCTACCTGCGTGAAATTATTACCTACAGTCGCGAACTGCCCCAGGGGTAGATCGCAGTCGGGGCTAGCGCGCTCTATATGAATGTAAATTTTTTTTAACGCTGTTTACGTAAATAATTTTTTAATACAGTTGCTCAAAAATTGGCGTATTGCAGGGACGTATAGCGTTCGGGATGTGGGCTATTACATACTCGTGCTTTTTCTTAACCTTTTCCGAACTCGTGCGTTTTTTTACCAACTGTCAAAATAATGTCTATTAAAAAGAAAATACCAACCACGAAGTTTTTACTAAAAACAAATATATAGAAGTTTTTATGATTCATGCAAATATTTCTAAAAAGAAGCTACTAATTTGTTTCAATATCAGATTTAATGATTTGATTCAATAAGATAGGTTAGATTTCATTTCATCTCATTAAATTTAATTTTCATTTCATATCAATAAAAAAATTCTACTGAAGACTAGGCTGTATGGGCATAGTTCCCTTTGCCTACCCAGAATGGGTTAATCTTATCTTTTACGGTTGGCGCCATTTTCCAAAAATTTTCTTTACTAAATTGCTTCATTTTTTCGCAACTGTATTAAAAATAGTTGTTCAGTACACGTGCGGAATCGTCATTGCAACTTGTTCCGACTGTCAACCCTCACCTTCGGCTGCGCCTCGGCTCGGGTAGACATTTGTCGGAACTCTTTGCAATGACAGGCTTTCCGCAATCGTAATGAAATATACTATTTTTAAATACTTTTTGAAATACTCGTCGTAATAGTTATTGTTTAGTGTTTATTATATTTAATTGTAGGATAAAATAGTTGAAAAAGTTTTAATGTAATTTAAGAATAATATATTATATGTATATTACCCTATTTGATAAATTATAATGGCAAAACGTTCCTACTATAATTGTTGCGGGGATTGATGCTTGATGAGCAATTAAAAGGATTCAGATATATCATTATATGAGTTACCGAAGAATAATGAAAGGTAAATTTATTTAATTTTTTTGTTAGATAGGTACTTATAGCGAAAAAAAAAATCTATACATATAGAATAATTTATACAAAATACATTACATGTGTAATTCTTATTGAGTCATTTTTTACTTTACCACTGGTTCGAAAAAAAACCCTCTGTCCTGGGAAGAACCAGCAAGAAACCCAGCGGGACTTTTTTTTAAAAATAAATTTTACAATATAAATGATAACGAACTATTTACAAAATTTATTTTAGAAACTGCTTGGAAGCGACCACCTCATTCCCAGGGGTTATTATCAACCATGCATTCATTTATACTATAATAACCCTTTTTATACAGTTTCAGTTTAATAAAACATTTAAACTTGATAATTGAGAGAACCTGTACACTTTCCGGGACCTTGTTGTAATAGCGTATACATTGCCCCAAGAATGAATTACTGACTCTGTGGAGTCGAGAAACAGGCATCACTAGCTTGTGTTTGTTCCTAGTGTTTACAGAATGTATATCACTTTTTTTACTAAAACTATCTTTGTTTTTGTCAACATACATTAAATTTTCGTAAATATACTGAGAGGCCAAAGTTAATATATTTATTTCTTTAAATTTATCTCTAAGAGACTCTCTCGGTTATAGATTGTAAATAGCTCTAATGGCCCTCTTCTGTAAAACAAAAATAGTTTCTGAATCTGCCGCATTTCCCCATAGCAAAATCCCATAAGACATTATGCTATGGAAATAACTAAAATAAACTAATCTAGCTGTCTCGACACTAGTGAGACCTCTAATCTTTTTTACAGCATAGGCTGCAGAACTTAGTCTGCTTGCTAATTTGGATATATGGGGGCCCCACTGAAGCTTTGCGTAAGAATGATGCCAAGAAAAACAGTGGGTACAACAGGGCTCAATTCCTCCCCATTGAAAAACACATTTGTATTCAGATTTTTAACATTCGTTGTTGTAAATTTAACACAATTAGTTTTATTTCCGTTCAAATGCAGATTATTAACGTTAAACCAATGCACTAATTTTGATATAGCATTATTCACTTCGTCACATTTAAATGATTGACGTTTAAGTTTAAAAATCAAGGAAATATCATCAGCAAATAATACTATATCATGACTATCCCCTACAAGGTGAGGTAAGTCATTAATATACACCAGAAACAGGAATGGGCCGAGAATCGAGCCCTGAGGAACACCCATCAGTACAGGTGACCCGGAAGAATTTTTACCATTGATAATAACCTTCTGCTTTCTATTACTTAAATATGAAATAATAAGTTTGAGCGCTGTGTTCTTGACACCATAGTGTATATATAATAAAAATTAAAATATATATAATAAAAATGTAAATAGCAGACGTCTGTACATTTTATATTTTTGTAATAAAAGTGATTGAGAGATACTAAAAATAACTAATTAAATACATTTCTACCGTTTTTAGAATTGTCTGTCTGTCTGTTTGTTTGTTAACGTATCACATATAAAGTACTAATTTATATCATGAGAATCATTAAGGAAATTATAAAGTGTATCTTCGGGTTACATTTAGTCTTTATTTCATTAAAATCAGTTCATTCCATCAAAAGTTATGATAAATATTCTGAAGTATGGGTACGAGGTATATGTACGAATTTGTTCAATGGTAGCGTTGATTGAGCCATCAAGTGCATTTTAAACTAATATCATATTATAAAACATAATTAAATGATGTTCTATAATGATATAATTATATCTAAAACGAAGTAAACAAAAGTATTAAAGAAAAAGAACGTAATAAGTATATACAAAAATATATTAATCTTATTATCTAAGTCTAAAGTACAATAGTTAACCAATATCATCGATAGATGGCGGTGTTGTACAAATTTAATACAAAAAGGCAGGTTGTGGTTTTTTCCTGTAGATGAGTTTTCATATTTGCTGCTAATCTTTATATTAATCGTTGCCCTACTGCGTGTTGACAAACTCAATTACTCTTTACCGCCGAGTATACTAATTGGTAAATAAAATTTTAAAAGAGCTATTAACAATTTCGTTGGTTTCGGCTAGGATCAAACTTTCTTTTTTGCTTACTATGCACGCACTGATTTATAAGTGTGTTTATGTTTTATTAATGTATCAATTGCGTCAATTAATCTGTTTTATTTTTAGAATTAATGTTAACAGCGCCATCTCTCTTTAAATCTATACATATAATAAACATGGTGATAACATGTTGTGTCTGTTTATGTACATTGTATAGTAGGTATGTTTGTGACTAAAATCATTATGGGGACTGAAAATCATTAAAGTACATTTTTATTATATCTTTTAGAATTTTCTGTCTGTCGGTCTGTCTGTTTGATTATGAACGCATAACGTTTTGAGTAAACATCTTTTTTGCAAAGAAGTCGTTAAGAAAATTATAAAGCCATAGATAAATGATAAGTCATCGCAGAGCACGCGATGACTTATCATTAATCTATGCATAAAGCGTATATTCGAGTTCATTTTTAATCTTTGTTTTATTAAAATTGGTTAATTCTATCGAGTTATTATTATTTTGAAATGTAGGTTCGAATCTGTTTAAAGGCGCCATAAAACTCAGAAATAGTAATAAAAAGATTCGTGTGTAAAAAAAAACGTTCTATTATAATATTCTTAAAACACAGTAAACAAAAAAATATGTTTTCCTTAAATTAAAAAAAGTATGTTTTCTCACAAAGAACGTAATAGATCGCGTTGTATAAATTAGAACTTTTTCTGAATTGCGGTGGCGCCCCTTTTTCCTAAATGGGGTCGCGTCCGATTCGGCAGGAAGGCCATAATGGCCAATGCCAGTCCCACAGGTGGTGTTTAGTGGGTAGGCACTTCTTCAAAGTGAGTCCGACATAACCACGCTGCCGGCTGCCGTGGTATGCTATGAGCATTCACCACCTCCTCCCCCGCTTCTTCGAGGGTAGCCTCATTTTGGGCGCAAAAGAAAAAAAAAGAATTGCGGTGTTAAGATTATTCGCTTTTTTTTAATCGTATTGAGACTCACTGAAGAAATTTGTAGCCACGAGTACCATGAAGTTGAAAGAACCGTGTAGGTTAACAGCACCAACATCACCAGAAACCAGAAAAGAAACACGCCCACCCAAGCTATGCAACGAAACTCGATTAAAAACTAACAAAATTGCAACAAAATGTCGTGATATTGTTTTTATACCCAGAATCCCTCTAATCCCAAATAACTTTCCTTTCAGTTTTAAGCGTGTTCAGTTCCCAGTCAGCGTGTGTTATGCGACGACTGTAAATAAAGCGCAAGCTCAAACTTTACGCGTTCCAGGAGTGGACCTCAGTACTAACTGTTTTGCACATGGTCAACTCTATGTTGCTTTTTCCCGCGTTAGTAGGCCAAATTCTTTAAGTAAAACCTATATACGCGAGCTACGCCGCGGGCACATCTAGTTAAGTAATAATTTAACTACAGAAGTAGTACCTAAGTACTTTATTACAAAACTTAGTTGAAATTTACTTCAATACCCAAGTACCTATTTACATACCTATACTCGTCTTTGTAATTAAAATATTTTAAG